GAACCCGCGGTGTGCCTTCATGCTTGAGAAAATCCATCAGCGCTCTGAGCGTAAGTCTTTTCGATAAACGAGCACAGGAGGAGGCGGGGGGGAGGGTGAGACGGCTGAGTGGAGCATCCATTTCTCCCCTCAAATACCTTAGCGTCAGTATGAACATTTTTAAGCAAATTTTTGATTATTCTTGTAGCATGAAGTAGGTGCAGGTAGTAGGTGACTGTTTCAGGGGTGATGCTGCAGTGACTGCACATTTCATGGAATGGATGCTGTTACACGACATTGTGGTCCTGGGGTATGATGAAAAAGGTAACACTAAGGGTGATCCTGCTGTTCACCTGAAGCCTGAACGGCTGAAGTGGGACATTCCTGAACCAGCACTGGTGAGTGTAATTTTCATAAGTGTGGTCTATATTATTTAGGCTTACTTCGGTTTAGTGGGGCATGTTGCTGGTTTCCGTTGACGCCAAGTCCCTTTTGAACATCTGTACACTTCATATCCCTGAGATGAGTAGGCGTGGCAGCGTACTTCAACCAAATGTGAGAGAAGCTGTGCTTTTCACGAGATATTTCATTTCGACACAATTGTGCTCTTGTCCCTTATGAAAACAGGTTAAGAGGACAGTTGTCTAAAATGGAATATGCCACGAGAAACCCATTATGCTATGTTCAAATGTCACGCCTACTCGGTCCAGGGATAAGGAGTGTAAATTCCTGTGAAGTCATTCAGTGATATGAGCATCATTAATACTTGACAAAAAGCTGCAGGTTTCATTGATGTGATTTGTCAGGTATTAACGAAAGATGTAATGGAATTGTATTGTGGCCCTCCCCTAAACCGAAAGGCGCCCTCTATAGTTTTGTCAGCATGATCTGTGAAGGTTAGTCTCTCGTTTTCAGGCAGCCATTGATGTTTCAATGAAGGTTGCTCAAGCACTAATCGACGACGTCGAGATGGCTCTTTTAGTTTTCACAGATTATGGCAAAGGATTCATTAAGAAACTGGGTGTTTCTCCAGATGCCTATCTTCAGATGGTTTTGCAGTACACTTACTACAAGGTAATTTTGTTCAAATACTATATGTCTTTAGTTAATCAAGTGGTATCTCATCTCACTTAATTTTGTATTGATCTGTCAAGGAATCAATATATCTCTGACGCTTCTTTCTCATTCACTAGCAAAACCGTTAAAATAAGGGTAGGGCCGAGACAATCGTAATTTGCCGACTCTTCAGGCGCGGCGAAGGGCACCACGTTTTCTTGATTTGCATTAGCCTGTCGATTGAAAACATCGATTGAAGCACAGGACCCACGCAGACTACAAGACCGTAGAAATTTATGGCTGTTTTTATTGCTGCATGGTCAGTTGTCGCCACCAAGACCTCAAAACATCGTCAGCTGTAGGCGCGACGTCGCACGCGACGCCTACTGTGCTACGAATTACCATTAATTGGATTGTCTTGTCACATACGCTGTATTTGGTACATTACACCGTGTTTATTACTGCATTTCTTCAGAATCAACAGAAGTTCTGCCTCACCTACGAGGCTTCAATGACACGACTATACCGTGAAGGGCGTACTGAAACTGTGCGATCATGTACAACCAGATCCAAAGCATTTGTCCTTTCTATGGTTGATCCATCAAAGACGGTGAGCACTTCAGTCATTAGTGTTCTGTCAAGATTTAGACCCTGCTTGTGAATGTTGGCATTTTTATCTATCTCTACCCCACTTTTCCGATGTGGGGTCAGAGTCTCGTCGGGGCTAGCCTTTCGTCCTAAGTATTACGGCAACTGGGGAAGGGTCGTATTGTGCAAAAATTTCACTCAGCGACGAAAAGTGTCCTGTTGAGCGGCCACCTATAGGTTCAAAGGTGGGCTTGGTCGTGGGCCGAGGTATATGCCGACATTTAACGCCACAACTGTATGCGATCAAATTTGAACGTGTGCACCGACAGAAGATGTGGCGCTAGCGTGGCCGGCAGCTAGAACGTGACTGTCATTTAGGTGAAAATGATGTGGCCATGAGCCAATAGAGTAAGCTACCGTTACTTATTTGTAGCGTGACGAGCGACTCGCTCTACTGAGGAAAGCATGTGATTACCATCAAGATTTATACCGAGATGCAATGTGTGGGAAAGGTGTTGACCGGCACTTATTTGCGCTGTGAGTTTTGTTTGTCCCTTCATAAAGATGTGCTCTGTTAATTTCGGAATACTGAAAGGCAGCGGTTCAGATATGTGATCAAGCGATACCTTGAAGAAGAATCTCCCTTCTTCGACCGGGTTTTCCCTCCAACGTATCTCCTGTCTACCAGTCAGACTCCACTGAACCAAGTTCAAATCGATATTGCCAAGTATGGTATGGAACCTGAGCGAAGGAGCAAACTTGTTACAGCTGGTGGTGAGTCCTCATTTTTTTTCTCTCTTTTGGATACTACGACACTGTAACCGGTAGTAGTTACAGTACTGGTCAGAATCTTACATCTAATCCTGTGGCGCTTCTGGCACGACCTCAGTTTTTTTCACGGCAGGTCACAAGTAATAGTTCTGGGTGCTGTGCAAATTCACTGGCTTGTCGCGGCAGAAAGAAACCGGAAGTCTCGTTGATAACTGACTCACCCAACACTTTTCACTTTGAAATTGCCTATCACCCTTGCTCGAACTTCTGTGTACTTTGTCCCTTTAATGTGTGGGTGTTCTTTGTTCCACATCTTCGGGGCGCGCTTTATGGTGAGTTCGTTACGCATCTACTTAGGAACAGTCCAAAGTTCACCTTTTTACACTAATTTGGCAGATTCTACTAGAACCGTTAGAAACGGATTCACTAAAAATCGATGGCTCGTTATTCCGCTGGCTTTCCACGTCGGTTGTACAGGCTTGGGGCCGCGTTCATACTTTACGAATGTGGGATTTGGGAGTTTGGGGGGGGGGGGTGCGTTCCAGGGGAAGTGTTGGTATCGACTGGAGATTCCGCAAATCGCAAGAAACCTGGAATTGGGAGATCGTGCCAAATTTTGGATGGGATTGAGATCGGGAGCACGCTTGCTCTCCCCAAAATCTCAAAAGCTTTCCAAAACTGCGTTTTGTTCCGAACAAGTCCCGGTAAGTGAAAAAGATACTTGCGGACGCGCTTTGTTGCCATCTCGGGCTCAAAAAACCACTACGATTATGAATATAAGTAGGGTGCATGCTGGCTCCCGAAAGGAGATTACTCAACGGCGAAAGTGGTGTCAGTACCTGCATGGAGGGGTGGGGCGCACCTGACCTTGGTAGACCTTTTTCCGAGCTGCGAGGGAAACTCTCGATTGTAGCTTTTTCTCATTTTACGCGCCCTATTCACGCCGCGCCGTCCGAAAGTTTTTCTTCTGAAGGGGCGGGCGGGGGAAGAATTGTTGAATCTCAGGAAAATGAGGGAAAACTGGTAAGAAGTTGAATTCGGTAAGATGGATCCTAGATCGTGAATAAGAGGTAGCACTGGTGGTCATGCTGACATCGCCATTTCACATACCTGGATGCTGTTTCTTGGGTGGCTGTATTCTATCCAGAAATTTCCATTTAATTTTTACCAATTGTCAGGAGGCTTTGGACCTGTTGCGGATCGCGGTTATGGAGTGTCTTACATTAGTGGCTGGAGAACACCAGATTTCATTCCACATTTCAAGCAAACGAACTGCTAAAAATACGGTACTTCTTATGACGCATTTACCTAATGCTTCCAAG